TTTCACCCACTAACTGACTTCCCAGAGGGACTACAGGTTAGTTTTCACCCACTGACTGACTTCCCAGAGGGACTACAGGTTAGTTTTCACCCACTGACTGACTTCCCAGAGGGACTACAGGTTAGTTTACTGGACGGAACTGGACATCGCAACTCCGGCCCCCTTCTGACTTCCCAGACCGCTTTCCCCCGCATGTCCTATCCCTTGTAGAGAAGGCATGGTATGGTTGCTAAAGGGAAAACAGCTTAAAGCACCAGTAGAGGGGCATCTGGGCCGTGGGCCTGACACCTGAAATTCTGGAGGCGCGAAACAAAACCGCGACCACCGATCTAATTTATCAGCGGCGGGCGCGGCGTTTGACGTTTCGGCCTCGTTTTCTTGTGGCGACAAGTTTTGGACTGCAAGGCTGGGGCCGTGTACTGGTGGTTTAAAGAAGTAGCTTCAGGTCCCATTGGAAAACACAGCTTTGGAAAATGCTTTCAAACAGGCAGTGACTAAGGATAGGATAGAAAAGAGAAGAGAGATTAGGAGAGGAGGCTGAATAGGCTGAAGGAGGAGGTCAACTCTCTGGTGCCCCGCAGGGATGGTTGAACTCGTCATGAGGTGGCGTGCATCGACATTACAGCACACAGACGTATCTCAGATCTTCCATATCATCTCAGACTCACGTTCACAGTTCGTTCTCATACTCACGTCCAAAGGGACGCTGGACCCTGTTTCCAGAAGGTGAAGCTCCCCACCAATAGATGGAGCGGCCGGCAATGGACCTACTAGAGGAGGGTGCTCATATCACCCCCTCCTAGTAGGCCCCCAGCTGGCACTTGAGATAAAAAAAGAAAAGGGTTCAATTTTCAACTCTCAGGTATCCCACATTTTACCTCCCAGCCCACGTAGCATCACCCACCTACCTCACATTGTACCATCCAATAGTACCATCCAGTCTACATAACATGACCGACTAGGCCACATTGTACCGTTCAGTTTACTTAGTATGATCCACTCCACACAGTACCCCACAGCCAGACCACCCAGTCTACATGGTACCACATAGTGTCCCACACCGTGCCATCCAGCCCAAGTGGCATTACCGACCTACCCTACATTGCACCATCCAGTCCACACAGTATGACCAACCACACCTAGTACCCCGCAGCCAGACCGCCCAGTCCACACGGTGCCACCCAACCCACGAAGTACCTCCCAGGCCACATAATACCGGCCTAAACCACAGAGTGCCACCTACTGTCTTCCCCAAACAGAACGCACCCTCCATATGACCATATCGGACTGGATTTATAGCCTCAATACATTCACGATTAGGATGTGCTGTGTTTGGAGGGGAAGACGGTAGCAGTGTGGTGTGTTGCTCTTTTTTTGTGCTTTGTGAAAGTCGTGGCTGTGTTTTTTCCCTTTTCAAGTGCACAGAGGTTTGCTCTTTTGGGGGATTTCGGGCTACATAGCATCACCCAGCCCGCATAATACACACACACACACACACACACACACACACACACACACACACACACACACAGAGAGAGAGAGAGAGAGAGAGAGAGAGAGAGAGAGAGAGAGAGAGA